GGGGGGGGGGGAGAGAGAGAGAGAGAGAGAGAGAGAGAGAGAGAGTGTGAGAGAGTGTGTGTGTGTGTGTGTGTGTGTGTGTGTGTGTGTGTGTGAGAGAGAGAGAGAGAGAGAGAGAGATTCTTTCCCCTCTTCCTCATAGGCAACGGTTCTCTGCTCCCATGATCTTTGCTCTGACCTTCACTCTGACCCCTAACCCTGAACTTAATACAATTTTCCAGGCTTTTGCTCTGGTTATACCTGACCCCTTCCCTCCCCCACCCCCCAACTCATGTTCCAGTCTTTCAATCTACAGTTTCCCTATGTCTGTGAAAGCTGGAGCCCATATGGCAAAGCCAAAGAAGAAACCCAGGGGAGGAACAGAAAAGGGGGTGGGGTGGGGCAGATAGAGAAAGGAGAAAGAAGTATTATGGGAGAAAAAAGGAGAAAAAGGGAGAAAGGTAGCTCTCTCTGTTGAACTGCATACTTCTCTTGTTTGAGCTGACACAGCAGGAAAAAAAGAAAGAAAAAAAGAGGAAATTGGGAAAAAAAGGGAAAAAAATCTAGTTAGAGTTTAATCTGTCTGTTGCTCTCCCAGTTCTAGCTGGTTGGCTCACTAGGAAACCTTTCAAAGACCTTTTTTTTAAAGGAAAGGAAAGGAAGAAGGAATCTGGCTCCCTCACTTTTCCATGAGCTTGTTCAACTCAGTCGACATGAATCTGGCTAATAAAACGAGCTCTGGAACTCAGTTTCCACATGGTTCTTTGACTAGGCAGGGAACTGTAGCTAGGCTGACCATGGAAGCCAGAAAGTGAGAGGAATTGCTGACACTTTGCCCCACCCTACCCACCTGCTGGCCAAAAGGCTGTCAATTCCATACCCCCAAATCCCTCATGATGAGGTCCCCAGTTTTTGATTAGGTGATGATTTTTTCCTGTGTCCCCTGAGCAGATAAAAATCAGTGTAGTATAGTCCCACATCTGACACTTGCTAACCCATGACAGTAAATAAAGTCGATTCATGGGAGTTTGTTTCCACACCTGTACAATATGGAAATTAACACTTGCTCCTGCCTATCTCAAAGAGTTGTTCTGAGGATCAAATTTATGTATAACAATTTCTGAACCATAAATTGATATTAGATACAAGCTATTTCTCTCTGCTCCAACTCCTGAATAGGTTAGAAACTTGAATTACTAAAATACAGAAAAAGCAGCCCTGCCCTTCATCTTCACAACCATTCTCCACTAGACTCCCTCCCAACACCTGGCCCTTTCCCTGGCTGACAATCTTGTCTCCCCTTTCTGTAATGCTAGACATCCTATGGGGATGTAGTACACCCCCCATTCACATTTCAGTAATGGAAATACATATGGGAACTGCTTTGGCTATTGTAATACAATACAATCATAAAACTTGGTCTCTGTGTACATAGCTCCCTTTTTAGCTTAAATCTAGGTTCCCTCTGTGTCTTTCAGGTTCACCATACTCTCTCCCTCTCTCTCTCTGTCACACACACACACACAGACACACATCTATCTATCACAAACATAATCTTGCTTTGATACATAAAGGCATATGATGGGTTGTGCCCAAAAGTAAGGTGTAATACTTCAAAAGTCTATCCTTTAACCCCCCCATCTCCACCCCATCAATTGCCTAATTATCTCACACTGGGTCTAGCACAGTGCACAGCACACAGTAGGTGCTTAATAAATGCTTGTTGCTGATTGATTGATGGATTACAATCACTGTTTATATCTCTGTATAGGTTAGTATGCTGTGATTGTAATTTTTTGTCTCAAATCTTGACTGTTTAGCTAACACTTCTGTCTCAGGCTCCTTCTCTGCCTTTGGACTTGTGGCTAAATGGGTGATAGCAATCCGGCTCTTGAGCTCCCTCTAGTTGCTCAGCAACACGCCTATGAAGATATACTTTGCAATCCTTTCTTTTTCATTCTCACACTTTACATTGGAGAAGCCATGGCTGCTTTCCACCTCCTTCGTTCCGACCTCAGAAATGGTGATTTTTTTTTCATGGTCTTTTTTTCCCCGTGGTGGGAACAAGCCCAGTCACTTTGTACATTTCTCCTTCTACTCCCTCCCTCACACTCCCATCTCTCAAAAGAGTGGAAGCGTAGGGGATGGTAGAGGCTGGGGGTTGCAGAAGAGGAATCTTATTTCTTTCCCTGCCGACATAGCTTCCCTCTGCCACAAACTGGTTAAAGCTATTCTAAACCATCCTGCTCTGTCCCTAACACTGGATCTTGCAGGAACCCCTTTAAATTGTTGGGGGGGGGAGGCTGGGGCCGGGCGATAGATGATGTCTACGTTTCCTTCCAGAATATTTGAACATTTTGTGATTCCGAGATGTGGCCAGACCCCATTCTCAAAAAAAAAAAAGAAACCTTCAGGCAAAGCCACCCAGCTCACGTAAGTCATACACCTGCTCCGGGGGCGGTGGGGGTGGGGCAGGAGGGGCGCGCATAAGAAGGCGGAGCGAGGGGGCGGGGAAGCAAGCCTGGCCAGACAAGGGAAACCAGCCCCCTTGCTCACGGGGTGGCACTAGCCAGTTGCTCGAAGGCATGAGGGTGGGGGAGGGGAGCAGCAGTTTCTGGTAGCATCACGCTTAGGAAACAGCCTACGCTCTTGGAGGACTGGGACTCCAGGGTCCTTCAAGCTGCTCTCCTTGAATGTCTATCTCCCTAGCCCTTCCACCAACAGTCTCTCTCCCTTTCACACACACACACACACACACACACACACACGCGGCGCATGACTCTGTTTGGGGATACTTTGCATAGTTTCAATGTGACCAGGTTATTACACAGCGTGCTAGGTTCCAAGACAGGAAATCAACTCATACCTTTTCCCCGGCGCTAAGCTAGTTCAAATTCACATTTCTGAGGATCAAGGCCAGTCCGGCCGCCCTTTTTTTTTTTTTGCTCCTAATAAAAATAACCAGGTTCTGGGCCACCTTCCCTGAGCCTCGCCCTCTCCATGGCCCCCACCACCTTTTTCAAAATGCAACCCCTGGAATTACTTGTTGATCCAAGCCCAGTTAGGAGGGCGGCCGGGGTGGGAACAGGGGATAGGGGCAGACAACCCTCTGGACACTCAAGCCACAAGATGTCACCCGGGAAAGCCGACCTGCCTTCAAGAGTTTGGCAACCGCGACCACACGGCTCCCGGACACCACAACTCCTTTGCACTGCATGCACTACGGAAAAGAGTGTGTGCGGGGTTAGAATGTATGGTCGTGCAGTGAGGTGGGGGTGGGAGGCAACAATGGCTGGGGCTGGGGTTGGGGGGCGGGGAGGGAGGTGCACCGGGATCTGAGCCAGCAGACTTCTCCAAGTTCAGAATTTCTAAGCGCAGTTTTTCTAACCCCCTCTGAAAGGAGTCAGTTACAGTCAGTCTGGGCGGGACGTGCCCATGGCTCTGATCTGGGACCTCTGGCTCAGGTTCCTCTCTCGATTTTCCTCCCACCCTCTCTTTTTAAGGATCAGGTAAAGTCGAAAGGGGATGGGACGGGGAAAGAGCCCCAGATCTTTCCCCATTGAGCCCCGAACCCTGTCAAGAACTGCAGGATGCTCGACAAGGGCGGGGGAGGGGGAGATTTGAGGGGGGGCGGAAGTTACAGGTTGAGAGTCTTAGCTGCACAAACTTCAACAATTCTGGAGTGTGGCCCCCCATCCGCATCTCCCCCCACCTCTTCTTGAATATAATATGTTCTTGACCCCCAGTACACTTACTCCCCAGGGCGTAGGGATCTGCCGAACGCTTGGTTGGGAGTATTATAGATGGAGACTGGGAGGGGTGGAGTGGAGAGCAGCTGGAGGAGGTTGGATTTCGGAGTAGCCAATCTTTCTCCCGCCACCTTCCCACCCTCACCTTTACCCCGCGGTACAATTCAAATTTCTGGGGCTGCTGGGGAAGAGCGAGTAGGAAAATGCCAGGAGAAGCAAGCCCAGCTTTCCTTCTTTGCTGATGGAGACTGGGCAGCGAGCCAAGGCCAGGCGGGAAGGTGCGCGCGGAGAGGGAGGTGGTGGTGGTGTGGGAAAGAGAAGGAATTTTGAATTTTAAAGCCTATCATTCACCCCAAGTTCAAAAGCACTGATCCTGAGTGCGAAAAATAAAAATAAAAACAGCTTTCTCGAAAGCAATTTGCCATTAGTAATGAGGGTGGGGTCCTGAGAATTATATAAGCGGACGGAGAGCGGGGGAAAGGGAAAGAGAAGGGGTGGCAAGGGGTGCAGCAGCAAAGAAAAGAATGCCCCCCTCTCTAATTAAAGCAGATTCTCGGCGGACCATTTCTTTTTTCTAGTTAGGAACAAATTGCGAAGGGGGGATGGGTGGGTGGGTGGAAAATTAATGTGCTGGGATGGTAGAAAGCACCACCCCAGCCTGGAGTCTGGGGGTGTCAGGAGTTGGAGTAGAGAATCCCAGCTGAGATCAGCAGTTGGGAGGGGGTAAGGGAACATCAAAGAGAAAATGGGGGAAGTGGGATCCGCGAGGTTGCGAAGCAGCCTAGAGCGGCAGGATTGGGCAGGTGCCTCCAGTATCGTGGAGAAAAAATTCCCAACACCCAAGTCCAGGCTGGCTCCAAGCCACTTGCAAAGGAAAGGGAGATTGTGGGTTTCAAGCACTTCCCTGCTAGCCTCCCGCCGCGCAATGAATGACCCGGAGTATAAGGCTCCCTCACCGATCTTGGCTTGCTCGCGGTAGCTCTTTTCGTTCAGGCAGACCCCGCGTCCGTGCAGGAGGGCGTGCAAGGGCTTCTCCTCGTCCTGTCGGGGGAGGCAACGGAGCCCTTGGGCGCAACGCTCAGTGTACACCCCGCACGACTGCCCCTCGTTCAGCGCGCAGGTCATGCAGCAGCCGCAGCCGGGCTCCTTGACCAGCTCGCAACCCAGGGGGCTCGGGGGGCACATGGACAGGGCTTTCTCGTCGCACGCTTCGCAGTGCACGAAAGAGCCCAGGCCTTGGGCTGCTCCGATGCAGGCGGACAGCAGCAGGAACACCGTAGGCAGCACCATCTTCCTAAAGATCCCCCTTACCTTGGGGCACGGTGCAGGACTGGGGAGACTGTGGGGGCAGGGTGTGTGTATGGAGGGCCGAGTCTTAATATCTACCCAGCTACCTATTGTCTTGGAAACAAGACAAGGGCTTTCCTCCTTTTCCTCTCCCTACCAGGGGTTTAAAAAAGGAGAAAAATTGAGGTGATGGGAGAGCTGGTCTCAGTTGCAAGAATTAAAGCTTGCAACAGTTTGGGGCAAAGAAAAAAAATCACCAGGTGGAAGGATAAAGAGGAATGGAAAAATAACCCCCCCAAATCCCAGCTCACCTGCCTTTTTAAAAGTGAAAAAAAGCCCCACAAGACAGGTCACCCCAAAGCAACCACCGGAAAATTTGCTTGAAGGATGGGGAGGAGAAGTTTTTTAAAAATTTAAGCTCACACCCGAGCATCAAGTGGATCGGGGTTGCCACGGAGCAGGTAGAAGGCTGCCTGACCAAAAAAAAAAAAAAAAAGTATAAGCAAGAATTTTTTTACTATATAAAAACCCCTCTTTTCTCCTGTCCACCACCTCTTCCAAATCGTCAGGTTCTCTGCAAAGCACGAATAAGAGTCCTGCGGAAGGAGGAGGAAGGGGGAAAATTATTATAAAAGCACCACCACTTTGTAGCTCTCCCAACACTTTTCCCCTGGAGAAGTTTCTAAAGAGACTGATTATTGCCGAGCAGGCTGTCTTTTTTAAATAGACGTCCCCCTGGCTGCCGGCCAGCCGTTCGCTGCAACCCGAGAGCACACGACACCCAGTCTGAAAAGATGCCAGCAACTCGCGCAATATTGCAGCGCACACTCACACGGCCTGGGGGGTGGGGCGAGGACTTCGAGAGACCGAGCCGGCTACCCCTCTAGTCTTGAACACCACCCCTCCCCCCGGAATGTAAGGAAGGGGCGCAGGATTTGGGCTGCTGGAAAGCGGGTCAAGCAGAAAGGAGAACCAATTCTCTTGCAGGGATGGACACAATAAGCCATGTAACTCTGTCTCACCCCCACTCCCACCCCGAGACTCACACACCCCGGGCTCAGGGAGCTGGAGGGAGAAGCAGTTCAGTTTTAGCCAACTCTATATATACAGAGTCGAAGAAAATCTTTTCTAAGCCTTGCAAATCGGCTGTTTGCTGATGTGTATTTAAGTTACCATGTAAGGTTTGGGAAGATGGGGTTGGGGGGGGGGTGAGGCGGTGGCTGGAGGTGGTGGGCTGAGTTTTTTTAAAAAGGAGAAAGAAAAAAAGATTTTTTGGGAAACTTTGCAAATTTCTGTTCACCTGGTTCTCTTAAGTGACCATTCATTCCCTTTGGGATATGTTATTGGAACAGGGATGCTTGTGAGCCCCAATTCCCCCTTACTTGGCCTGTGTCTCTGTGTAAGGGCAGTGTGTATGAATGAACAGGTTTGTGGGTGGTTTTCTTTTTTTTTTTTGAGGCAGTGGACAACACACAATTTAATGTTGTGAGCAGTGAGGAAAGAATTAATGTAACATTCACTGTTTAGGAAAGCCAAACAATTGAGATTACTGGTGAGAAAATCTAGTCATTTGTAAATCTGCCTTATGAAGTAGAGCATAATCTCGGAATATTCTTTTGGGTGGATAAGCTTGTTGGATTTATACTGCCATCCCCTTTGGGTTTCTTTCAGCTTTATTTCTAAGGACTTTCAACTAGATAGAGTGGGGTGTGTGTGTGTGTGTGTGTGTGTGAGAGAGAGAGAGAGAGAGAGAGAGAGAGAGAGAGAGAGAGAGAGCCTGCCTTTTGGAATAAAGATAACCACTTACAGATATACTGTGTAGATTAGGGTCCCTCTTCTGTGACCAGAAATGTTATGAGACCAGCTGAAACCCACCACAATTAGGACACTTGCTGGCCTAACCCAATCTTCCTCCCAGACTTTTCTCAATAAAATGCAGGGAAACCTCAGGCTGGAGCAGAGGTACTGAATTGGAGCTGAACTGAAATTGATTTAGGAAATGAGCTTCAGAAACCCAGGAAATTTTTCCAATAATTTCCAGGTGGTATTTTTTTTTTTTTTTTTTAGTTTGGAAGTGGATAGGAGCTATCCCTCTCTGCCTTCTCTCTCCTTTCTTTATGAAATTTCCTTCAGACCAGGGGCTGTATTTCATAGCATTTGCCACTAGACTGCACTCTTATCTATGATTAAAAAAACTTCAGCAGAGTTTACTTAAAATACTTAACTCACTGGCCATGCTGAGTAGATGACCATTTTATGTTGCTAACGTTCCCACGTTCCCTCCCACCTGTCTGTTTGCTATAGGAGGTATTAAGGAACAAGGCATTGAAATATAAAATCGGACTTTTCCTTCTTCCCAAACAGAGTGGGGGAGAATACAGACATCTATGTATCTCTATAGTTTTAAATGGCTCTAGGCTTTTTTCTCTTTGTTTCTCCCTTATAGCTGAGATTTGGAGGAGTTGGGGACCTCCTCCCCACCCCTGACTATGCATTTTTCACTTTTTTTGGTCTGCTACGGGTTAGAAAAAAAGTAGAAAAACTTTGTTGTGTACTACTTACACACCATTTCAGCTGAGTCCAGGGACACTGGCAGCATTTGGGCAGAATGGAGTTGTGTCTCTTTTTTCTTCTAAAGAAATATGAGCTACCTAGTTTCAGCCATCCTATATTCATGGGGTGACTGCTATAGACGATGTATCTTTTGGTCTGGCAAACTTCCAGTGGAGGGAAAAATAACACCTCTGAGGAAAGGTGAAAAGAAGAGGGGACGATTCACTTGAGAGGAGAGAAGACTTGGTGTTGGGGGTGTGGGGTTTAGATTTTGAGCATTGATATACAAATAAGATCTCCACCTCTAGGGAGGGAAGGTGAGGGGAAATGGATGGTAGTGGAGTGAGAAATTGAGTTTGGTTACATGGAAGAGCAGCCTATCAGGGAGTTTTAAAGACAATGGAAAGTCTGCCTAATGAAATTGTGTTCTCCAGAGTATTTGAAAAATAGATCATTTCTCTTGTCTGGGTCTGATATAGATTTCTCCCAAGGCCAGTGGATGGATCAGACAAACTCTGACCCTAAGATGCTATGATGCTGAAGAGCAATGTATTCTACTTTTGGCTCCCTCCCAACTTAAAGGTTCATATTCCCTCTCTCTCCTCCCCTCACTAATTTTTAGGTTCTTTTGTTCTTCTTTGTTCTACTACCACTGTGAAGGTCAGGCATAGACTTCCTTATGAGTGCACCGTGCTGGACTCAGGAATGAAAATCATCTATTTTAGCAAGTTTAGTTGGAAGTTCACTTTATCCTTTCCAGATTGTAATTTCAGGGGTCAGAGGTCTTCTTCCTTCAATTCCCTTCAGTCTGGCATAAGACAATTTTTAAGATACTTTAGTCAGGAGAGGAAGGAGGCTAAATGCTGCTCTCTTGTTCAGGGTCCCTCCTTTTGGGGTTCTTAAGAGTGTAGCTGCAGATTGAAAGGTTTCAGCAAATAAAATTTTATAAAGATTGGTCTTTGTGGGTTAATCTTTTAAAATGTCAGTAGCGGGTGTCTGCCACTGTCTTTTTGAACTGAAGGAAGGAAATTAGAGAAAAGGTGGGGAGCTTGTAGTAAAGCCAGAGTCCAAAGAGAGAGTGAGATGAAGGAAGAGGTCTGATCTGTATCCAGACTTCTCATTCTAGAGGGAGGGAATGAGACAAATAAACTCTTTTTCATCCTTACTTCTAGGACAAGAATGGGCTTTCAAAAGCTGTTCCTTTTTCTAGATAGCATTGAAAAAATTCTCTCCTTTCTTAGAATATCAAACTCAGTTATTCAGGAGATAGGCATCCACTGTGGGCCCTGTCCCCTGCTTACCCTTCCCTAGTCCTAAATGACCACAAGTGAGGGTTTTGGAAAAAGTATAGCAACTGTCCATTAAGGATTTACAGTGGTATGGTAGAAGTATCCTGATCTTGCTTCTCTCTACAAACCCCCTCACCTTTCTCTGAGACAGGATTGCCTCCAAACCACACCAAATAACTCTCAATCTCTGGTCTTGCTAAAGAACTCAGAAGACAGAGATTGATCACTTTCCTGTATGCCAGGGCACAGGGAATACACTCTTGTTCTTTTGCCTCATGCTTGTCCATAACATAAAGGATTTTTTTTTTTAAGAAATACTGTATATAAAGTGGCAGTCACTGAGGCTCTACCAGAAACCAAGAAATTCTGAACAGCTTAAACTTTTCTCTGTTTAGCCTTTCAAACAGCCTGGCTGTAGTGAAGTCACTGAAGGCTAGGTGGCAGAATGAATACATTATTCGGCACAGGCTTCCTGGGAATGAGAAGAAGGAATTGAGTTCTTTGGCCCTTATCTCTACTTGTAGGGGAAAACTGAAATGTTATGGACATATGCCACTGGGAAGTGAATTGAAAGCTTCTCTTACCCCAAACCCACATCAATACCATCAATGTAGGAATTCATTAGCCTTTTTTTGTGGGGGGGGTGGGAGAGGTGGATCAAGACCTGTAAGGAACTCCTAGTGAAGAAACTCCTTTCACCAACACAGAGTGTATCAGCGAGTGTTCTGTTTAGAGAGCAGTTTAGGGCCCTGAGAAGTTAAATGACTTACCCAGTCACCCAGCAAGCACTAGACAGGACTTAGAACCAGGTCTTCAAGACTACTAGGTGGACTCCTTGGAGTCCACTAGAATCAGCTATGCCACATTGCCTCTCTCTCTCAGATCAGCCTTGAAATGTACCTCAAGCATTTTGTTTCATCACTTGAATCAATAATGCTCTTTGTCCACCTTGGCAGTAGGACCAAGGAGCATCAAATGAGAATATTTGTAAAGTGCTCAGCGCACGGTAGGTGCATAATAAATGTCTATCACTTCCCTTCTCATCTTCATGGGCTTTTTAAGTTTTAGTCTTTGTTTTCTTTTAACTGGTTATGTGACCATATAAATCATCTCACCTCTCTTGGCTTCAGTTTCCTCGTTGGAAAGCTAGGGACCAGGAGTAGACTCAAACATTCTGTGCTCCATTTTTTAAGTCCCTGGCTTTGTAGAGACTGGTCCATTTGAAATGAGTTATAAAGGCATTAATGAATGCCAGTAAGCCCAATGGATTTAATCCCATTCATGGATAGGACTTGGCCATTTGGCATCTTTGCTCATTAATAAATTAGTGTAGCTATATAGACAGTGAACTAGGGGGCTGCAAAGACCAAATTAAAGCTAGGTCAGGTCAGAATTAATTGCTTTTGGCGAAAGGCCAAGGCAAAGTTAGCACAAAGGACAGGTATATTGTAAGCCCAAACACTGATAGAATGGGTTTCTGCCTGTGACAGTATTTCAGAGTTAGTTTCACAAAGAGACCCACCAAAGCAATATATCTCTGTGTGGATTTAATGACAGTGTCTAAAATAACCTTAGCTCGTATTTCTAAGCTCACATGTCCAAAAAGGGAGTCACTAAAAGTTAGGCCTATAGCTGACAGTAATTCATTTTGTCTGTTATTATTCTTGAGTGGCTGACTACTAGTTAGATTCACCCCAAAAATGATTCTGGAATAGTTTCAGATATAAAGGAAAGAGTTAAAAGATAAAGGAAGCTTTCTAGTCCAGAGGCTCAACAAATAAGGTGCCCTGCAGGGCTAAGAGGATCATATCTACTTTATAATCATGACTCTGGGATG